GGGATGTTGACAGTCTTTTCATGTGTTTATTGGCCATCTGTATGTCTTCTTTGGAGAAATGTCTGTTTAGGTCTTCTGCCCATCTTTTGATTGGACTTTCTGCATTTCTGATATTGAGCTGTGTGAGCTGCTTATATACATTCTGGAGATTAATCCTTTGTCAGTTGTTCCTTTTGGAGTTAGTTTCTCCCATTCTGAGGGTTGTCTGATCCTTGTTTATTGTTTCTTTTGTTGTGCAAAAGATTCCTCCTTGACCCACCTCCTGCTGCTGCTGCTGCTGCTAAGTCGCTTCCGTCATGTCTGACCTTGTGCAACCCCATAGACGGCAGCCCGCTAGGCTCCTCTGTCCCTGGGATTCTCCAGGCAAGAGCACTGGAGTGGGTTGCCATTTCCTTCCCTTGACCCACCTCCTAGAGTCATGGAAATAAAACAAAAATAAACAAATAGGACCTCTCCATGTGTAATCGAAGGCACAGATGACCTGCAGAGGGGTTGTGGCTCAAATGTGCTGAAACATGTGAGGCTGCAGAACTGGACTTTGATCTGTGTCAGTCAGGTCCCCAGGGGGACCAGATGGGAGAAGTTAGATGGAGAGGCCATTTGCCAGGCTGTGCTCAGGGTGTGCTCCCTACTATAACGGATAGAGTAATAACAGGAGGGCTTCCCAGGTGCCTCAGTAAAGGGGGTAAAGAATCTGCCTGCCAGTGCAGGAGACTCAGGTTTGATCCTTGGGTCGGGAAGATCCTCTGGGGGAGGGCATGGCAACCCACTCCAGTATTCTTGCCTGGAGAATCCCATGGACACAGGAGCCTGGCAGGCTACAGTCCATGGGGTCACAAAAGAGTCCCCATGACTTGATGACTCAACGACAACATAATAACAGGAAGTGTTCTCAGAAGGAGGGAGTGGGGCATGATGCTGCCCCTCTGGGCTGACAGCGTCTGGAGAACACGGTTCCTGGGGCAAAGTGCAGGGGTGTGGGGATGGGCACCGTGCCCTGTGGTCGTTGTGACCCCGCAGAAACAGTGCTATCTGGGTCTCACTCTCCTGTCCGACTGGCTCTGATTTCCTGTGGGTGCTGCCGTTGGCTGGACGCCCCAAAGCAGGGGGCAGGGCCAGTATAGGGGGGCGCACCCATGTGGCCCCTACTCCTGGGACTGTCTTCTTTGCCATTTCTGCCCTGGCATCTAGAATGAGCCTGTTTTCTTATCCAGAAAGCCCCCCAAGCCCTGGTACCGTCAATTCCAAAGTGACAGATAATCCAGTCTCCAAGTGTTACTGCTCCCCAGATAACAGGTTAAAATAAAAATAATCAAGCCTGGATCAGATTTATGAAGACAAAGGAAAACCCTTATTAAAACTGGAGGTACCAGAGAGATTAAATGAAGTCATAAAACAGCCCTCTTTTTATTATGAAAAAAATCAAACATCTGTAAAAACAAGAGAGACGGTCATCACCGGGTTACAACTGGGACCACCCACGGCCATTTGAGCTTCCTCTGCCCACCCCGCTCCCTCACCCTGGCCCCACCAATTATTTTGAGGCAAATCTCTGACATCATGTAGTTTCATCTGTAAATATTTAGTCTCTATTTTTAAAAGACAAAGACTTTTAAAAATACAGAATAAACTCCATTCCATTATCCCATCTAAAAAGTAAACAGCAATTTCTTAGACCATCTGATGTCTTGTCATTGTCGACTTGGGTGGTGGTGTTGGGATGGTGGGCTCCTCCTGGCTCAGCCACTGTGGACCCCGACCTGGGCCTCTCTGCAGGGCAAACCCAGCCAGAAGGAAAGGCCTCCCTGGCTGCATGAGAAGTGAGTCACTGGAGACCATCAGTGTAAACCCATCCGTATTGGGAAATCATACTTTTCCACATTAAAAATGCTCCTAAAGGCGCAGTGTAGACTGTTGAGTCTGGTATCAGTTCCTGCCCTCAAAGGCAGTGTTTACTAGGCTGCATTTGGCTGAATCCATGTGTTCCCAGGGCCAAATCCAGGAATCTACTCAGGATTTGCACTGTGTTTGTGGAGAGAAGATTCTCCATAAATTTTCCATTTTTTACATGTTTTTCTTAAGATTTTGATCTAAGTCATCATGGTCTGTCTGTGAGAATATTAATTCACTGAACAGATATTAGTTGAGAAACTACTGTGTGTCAGGCTTGGTTCTAAGGGCTTAGAGAGCTGTGAACAGAATGGGTAAGAAGCCAGCCCCCGATGGAGCTTACATCCTAGTGGGAGATGACAGCTGACCTGACCAACTGTTAGAAAATGGAGGTGGATGGGGAGAGGGGAGATGTGACAAATAACGATGTGTTTGTAGGGTCTTATGCTCATGGTTGTGATTTTATTGTTGGCTAATACATAGTCCTAATTTTTGCTAGACAAATGATTTCTATTATGTTTGGTGGAATTACATACATGCTGACTCCACAGAGAGAAGCATGGACTGTGAGGTGTTGGCAAGCATTTCACTGTATCTCAGCGGATACTGCGCTGAGCTCAAAACATCTCAGCTCCCTGAAATCACAAGCGGAGAGGCAGTCTACCTGGGCAGCCTCATTGTTCTGCAAGAGAGCAGGCCTCTGTGTCATCAAGGACCACATCTTTCTATCTTTGGGTCTCAACTGGTCCCTGGTGACATCCAGCCAGTCTTAACTTTCCACAGCAGTGGCTGAACTCCCTGCCTTTTCAGTGGGGAAGATATCACCTCCAGAAGGTGAAAATTGGTTTTGAGGGCAAGGAGTCTGAGATATTACAGTGGCTGTGGCTCTGCAAAGTTACCTAAAGCACATTGAAGTACATAAGCAGATTTACTCTATTTCTGTGGTACTACGATTTCACAGGATGGGCAGGTGTTGATGGAGTAATAGTGGGGTGTTAGGAAAAATGGGTCTAATGGGACTCTTTAGGGGGTCATAATGAAAAACAATGGCTGAGAACCACGAGCTAGAGTGGGACTTGCTTATCAGTGTCTTTCACTTTTTTAAACCTGTGTGACTTATTCCATATGTGTCTTGTAGCTTGGGGCTTGCACAGTGATGCCTTTCCCGAGAATAATAATCAGATAGCAAATCAGCCGTGTTCTGAGTTTCCAGCAGCTCCTCAGCTTTCCAACCTTGGTGATATTCACAAACAGGAGGAATCCTTGCCTGAGTTTTGCTACAGGGGATATTTTCTGTTGGAAATACCCTTAAGCAGGGTATTTCCATGAAGGCAGGGTTAGGGTTTTAAATCTTTTTTTTTTTTTTATTTGGACTATGCTTGGTCTACTTTGCAGCATGCAGGCTGTTTGTGGAGGCACGTGGACTTCTTTAGTTGTGGTGTGTGGGCTCAGTAGTTGCAGATTCTTAACCACTGGACCACTAGGGAAGTCCCAGGGGTTTTAAATCTTTACAGCGATATTTTTAAAAAACATCTCACATTGACAATTCCAGGAATAGTTCTGTGTGCTGCTGGGGATCTGCTCTTTTTTAGGGACTCGTGTTAGGGACTTGTTTAAAAAAAGCTGGGTCCGGTGGTGATGATGGTGGTGTTAGGGGGGAGATGCATGGGTCCCACTGGCTCAAGTTCAGGTCACCAGCTCTGAGTCTAGTTAACAGGTAAAACTAGTTGAGGAAGGAAGTAGATTGTGCACCCAACTCCCAGGGATCTGCTTGATGTTATGAAGATGGTTCTGTGAGTATAAACACAGGGAAGGGACAGAATCCCCATGCAAAAGTCCAGATTAGGAAAGAAACCAGCAGATGACTGGGTGACCTGAGTCGGGGCTGGATGACTCCATGTTGCAGGCATCCTAGTGAAATGTCTGAAATTCAGAGTAAGGCAACAGACATTTGCTGATTACTGACCATATACCAGGCAGGGCGAGGGTGAGGGCTAGATAAGCAGTCACCAAGAAGACAGCGTTCAGAGCAGTGTTCATTCTTGGTCATTCATGTGCTGCAAGTGGCAAACCCTGAATGTGAACACCTTCTTAGGTCTTGCACCCCAAGTTCCTTGCTTCCCTCATCCTAGTCCTGGCCCTGAATGTTATTTCAGCTTCATAACTCCATGAGACAAGTACTATGTATATCAGCCAAGATTCTCTTGATTGGCATAAGCAACAGGAACCCGGGCATAAGCTGTTTTAAACAAAAGGGGAGTTTGTTGGATCACATAAGCCGAAAGGTGCATGGACAGCTGGCTTCAGGAGCAGCTTGATCCAGCATCCAGTTGCTGTCACCCAACTCCATCTCTCAGCTTTTCCTGGGTGTGGACTTCCTTCATAGTCAGTCTCTCTGCTCATGATTATAAGCCACTGCTGGAACCTCATGGTTCTGGACTGACATCTAGCAGAGAGAAGTGAGGATCTCTGACCCAGCATTTCTATCTGAATCTTGTTACTTCTCTTCTGATCTTAATGAAACATGTGCTTGTATCTGAACAATCAGTATGGTCTGAGGAATGCAGTGCACTGATTCACCCAAATTGTGATAGCAGGTTTTACTCTTGAGTTAAGGATGGAGGTCCCTCCAAAGCATATGGGCTACAAGTCAGGAAGGGGTGGTCACTTGGAGGGAAGCTGAGGTGCCTTTATCAGGAGAGGGATGCAGGGCTATTGGGTGACAAGACAAGAGGTGTCCCTCACATTACTATTTGCCACAGCGGTTTATAATCTGGGCATGGAAAATTCCAACAGGTAAGTCACTCGTCCAAGGTCAAGTGAATGTATGGCTGAGATTTAATCTCATTGTTTTGATCTTCCTGTTCTTCCTCACTTCCTGGGTTACCCCCTCCTACTACACTATAGACTCTCTGAGGTCAAGGGGTCCATCTCACCTTTTGGTACTAACACTGAGTCTTAGAGCAGAATGTGCTGTTTGATAGAAATCAGAACTCCACCCCCAAAATATTTCAGCCTCAAAAGTCTCAGGATTAACATGAAATTTTAAACTCAAGGTTTTTTTTTTTTTTAAATTTCTGTTTTGTAATGATTTTTCATTTGTTCCCAAGGATTGCTGAGGCAGCAAATTACAAAAACTGCTTGCTCTCTGCGACCAGCTATCTGATCTCCCTGGAGGTCTCCCCGACGCCGAAGCTCTCCCAGAATTTATCGGGCTCCCCTCTTATCACTGTCCACCTCCGGCACCATTTGGTGAGTTAGAGTGAATATGTCCTCATTTCTATTCTTTGATTTCCTTTTGCAGCAAGGACTATTCGATCGTTTGTATAATTGTAGAAAGAATCTTGGATGGATTGGTGCTGGCCAGAATTAGGATTTTGGCATCCATTCTTGTGATTATTTTTGAACAGCAGTGGAAAGTCCCCTGGATAGCTCTGGGGTTGGACACACAGTATTAATTTTGTGTAAAAAGGCCTCTGAGCCCAGACGTTGCTTTTGTAGATGTGTGCACAGCAACTGTGGTTATTTCTGATTTACAATAAATGTTGTCTTTGGAGGAGGGGATACCTTGGCTAATTCTCACTTATCTTAGATGATAGCTATTAGCGAGACAGAGAGATTGGTTCTTTCTGGGAAACACTTTAGCATTTTGAAGAGAAGTTTCTATGCTTTCAGTTTTGAGTGATTTGTTTTGCCCCATTGTAACTGTGATTATCTCTGCCTTCACTTTATCTTTGTCTGTGATAAGAATGACAGGTGCATCAGGGACACAGATGTGCACCTGTCCTTTAAAAAGTGTGACTTTCCGGGTTCCAGGATCATGCACTATGGTCGAAGCTTGCCATTTTGAAGGAATTTATTAAAGAATGTGATGTATATGTTAAATTTGTATTAAAGTTTAGTTGATTTACAATGTTGTATTCATTTCTGCTGTATAGCAAAGTGATTCAGTATACATTCTTTTCCATATTGTCTTCCATGATGGTTTATGATAGATGTTGAACAGAGTTCCCTGCACTGTACAGTAGCATCTTGTTTATCCATTCTATGTGTAATAAGAACTCAGTCCACTTTTGATCCTTTGAAGTCCTACAAAGACCGTTCCCGCCAGAATCTTCTATTTTGTTCCATTTTATACTGTTCCATCCCATTCCACCAACATTATCTGAAGACCTACTATGTGCCAACCCCTGTGTCTGTCTACCTGTGTTTTTATCACCTCCTCAATGAGAAAGCATTGAGGGGAGCTGATGAGTCAGGACAAGTTGCTCTCACTGCAGGTCTTGTCTCACCCTGCCACTCCCCAACCCTGGCTCCCCATGAAGGTCAGGCCCCTTCTTGGTTCCCTCAGAACCCAGCTCTGCCCAGTTGTCCACACTTTCTGGCCGGTGTCTGTCTGCATGTGTGCTTCCCCAGGCAGATAGCCACCATCAGACAGCTGTTGCTCCATTCCCGCTTTCATCCTGACCCTCCTGCTGATTGGGATTGGAATGAAAACTGACCTTTTCCAGTCCTGTGGCCACTGCTGAGTTTTCCAAATTTGCTGGCATATTGAGTTCAGCACTTTCACAACATCATCTTTTAGGATTTGAAATAGCTCAGCTGGAATTCCAGCACCTCCACTAGCTTTTTTCATAGTGATGCTTCCTGAGGCCCACTTGACCTAGCACTCCAGCATGTCTGACTCTAGGTGAGTGATCACACCATCGTGGTTATCTGGGTCACTAAGATCTTTTTTGAATAGTTTTTCTCTTTCTTGCCACCTCTTCTTAATATTTTCTGTTTCTGTTAGGTCCATACTGTTCTGTCTTTTATTGTGCCCATCTTTGCATGAAATGTTCCCTTGGTATCTCTAATTTTCTTGAAGCTATCTCTAGTCTTTCCCATTCTCTTGTTGCCAAAGAATGTTCAAATTACTGCACCGTTGCACTCATCTTACATGCTTGCTCAAAGTAATGCTCAAAATTCTCCAAGCTAGGCTTCAGCAGTACATGAACCAAGAACTTCCAGATGTTCAAGTTGGATTTAGAAAAGGCAGAGGAATCAGAGACCAAATTGCCAACACCTGTTAGATCATAGAAAAAGCAAGAGAATTCCAGAAAAATATCTACTTCTGCTTCATTGACTACACTAAAGCCTTTGACTGTGTGGGTCACAACAAACTGTGGAAAATTCTTAGAGATGAGAATACCAGACTGCCTTACCTGCCTCCTGAGAAATCTGTATGCAGATCAAGAAGCAACAGTTAGAACTGGACATGGAACAACGGACTGCTTCCAAATTGCGAAAGGAGTACGTCAAGGTTTTATATTGTCACCCTGCTTATTTAACTTATATGCAGAGTACATCATGTGAAATGCAGGCTGGATGAAGCACAAATTGGAATCAGGATTGCTGGCAGAAATATCAATAACCTCAGATATGCAGATGATACTACCCTTATGGCAGAAAGTGAAGAGGAACTAAAGAGCTTCTTGATGAAAGTGAAGTAGGAAAGTGAAAAAGCTGGTTTAAAACTCAACATTCAGAAAACTAAGATCAAGGCATCCGGTCCCATCCCTTCATGGCAAATAGGTGGTAAACAATGGAAACAGTGACAGACTTTATTTTCTTGGGCTCCAAAATCACTGCAGATGGTGACTGCAGCCATGAAATCAAAAGACACTTGCTCCTTGGAAAAAAAGCTATGACCAACCTAGACAGCATATTAAAAAGCAGAGACATTATTTTGCCAACAAAGTTCTGTCTAGTCAAAGCTATGGTTTTTCCAGTAGTCATGTATGGATGTGAGAGCTGGACCATAAAGAAAGCTGAGCACTGAAGAATTGATGCTTTTGAACTGTGGTGTTGGAGAAGACTCTTGAGAGTTCCTTGGAATGCAAGGAGATCCAACCAGTCCATCCTAAAGGAAATCAGTCCTGAATATTCATTGGAAGGACTGATGCTGAAGCTGGAGCTCGAATGCTTTGGCCACCTGATGTGAAGAACTGACTCATTGGAAAAGCCTGTGATGCTGGGAAAGATTGAAGGCAGGAGGAGAAGGGAACAACAGAGGATGAGATGATTAGATGACATCGCCAACTCGATGAACATGAGTTTGATCGAATTCTGGGAGCTAGTGAAGGACAGAGAATCCTGGTGTGCTACAGTCTGTGGCATCTCTAAGAGTCAGATACCACTGAGCTACTGGACTAAACTGACTGATCTCGCTGATTCCTCACTACCTCTCTCATCATTCCTTCCTCCTCTACTCCACAGCCAACCTTTCTTCAGGAACCTTCCCTCCATCCCCCGCCACCCCCACTGCCACCTGGCCCTTCCCCCTTCTCTTGTCCTCTTCATCCACCTGCAAGCAATCTTCACCTGAGAATGTGCCCCCCCCGCCACCGTCTCCTCTCTCTTTTTGAAAATCAGAGAACATTAAACAAATTTTAAATTGTGGTAAAATACACATAACATAAAAGTTACTATCTTGACCATTTTTAAGTGCACAGTTCAGCGGTGTTAAGTATGTTTCACACTGGTGCGCATACTTCACCACCAATCCTCCCCAGAACTCTCCTGATTTCAAAAAACCAAAACTCTATCATTAAACACAAATTCCCCCTCCTCATCCTCAGTCCCTGCCACACAACCTTCTCCTTTCCATCTCTATGGCTGTGACTACTCTGGGGCCTTCGTGTAAGTAGAATCAGAGAGGATTTGTCTCTTCATGTCTGGCTTATTTCACTGAGCATCAAGTCCTCAAGGTTCATCTGTGTGATAGCAAAAGTCAGAACAGAGAGAACAGAACGTCCTCAGTTTTTTTTTTTTCTTTTCTTCTATGGCCTCGCTGTGAAACATTTGGAATCCTAGTTCCCAGACCAGGGATCAAACCTGCGCCCCCTGCAGTAGAAGTGCAGAAATTTAACCATTGGACTGCCAGGGAAGCCCCAGAATGTCCTTCTTTTTAAGGTTGAATCCTAGTCTATGGTGTAGATGGACCATGATTTGTTCATCCATACATCCATCAGTGAACACTTGGGTTGCTCCCACCTTTAGGCTATTGTGCGTAGTGCTGCCATGAATGTGTGTATATGCAAGCATTTCTCCCAGATCCTAGTTTCAGTCCTTTTGGGTATGTACTTGCAGAAATGGCATCACTGGATCCCATGTTTCAGAGATATTATTGAACATCCACCTCCCCCTTCTCTTCTTCAAACTAGGTTGATTTTTACCATTTCCACTTTCTATACACATTTTCACACTGCAGAGATGGTCTCACATGTCTCCAGAGGAGCTTCCCAGGTGGTGCTAGTGGTAAAGAACCCGCCTGCCAATACAGGAGACATAGGAGACTCGGGTTCCATCCCTGGGTTGGGAAGATTCCTCCAGTACTCTTGCCTGGAGAATCCCCATGGACAGAGGAGCCTGGTGGGCTATAGTCCATGGGGTAACAGAGACTCAGGCACGACTGAAGCGACTTAGCCTGCACGCAGCGCATCTCCAGAGTCCTCTGCTCTCCTGGGCTCTGTCAAAGCCCACCCCACCCCCTGCAGCCCCTGAGGCTCCCACCCCCGGGTCCACAGGACATGTCTCCCTGCAGGAGGTGCCCCTTCTCTGGTATCAGCCCCTCCGCTGCTGCGCCACCTGCTCCAACTCCCTGAACACGGGCATTCCTTCAGCCCGTCTGCAGGAACCTTTACTTCTCTGAATTCATGGGGTTGCCTTGATTTCAGCCACCACCTCTGGACTGATGTTTCTGGTGACACAAAACCCACCTCTCCCCATGGCCTCACTCCTGTTCCCCGGCAGGTTTCTCCACCCCAGGTGTGCGGGTGGGCACGTTATCCCCAAGCCCTCACGTCCTCTGTGTCTGACCTCCTGTATCACCTTCTCTCTGCTCAGAGTCTGGAGCCCTGGTGCCCTCCTGGCTCCTGGTCTCTGGGTGGGACCAGCTGTGACCCTGTGTCCGAGCATCCCTCACATCCTCCCTCCTGCTGCCCCACCCCTGGTTTAGAGTCTCATTGCTGGTTTGGTTCTGCCTGAGCTAGAAGCTTCCTGACTGTTCTCCCCACTTTATTCTCCCCGAGTTCCCAGGCTTATCTTCCAGAAACACATGCCAGGTGGTCTTACTCAGCTATTTAAAATCTTTCAGTGACTCAGGTTTCCCTGAAGATGCATTTCAACTTCAGGCCGCACGGTCAGTCTTGACTGGACCTTTCCAATGTGACTTTCTGCTTGAACCTCTGTCCAGAGGAGCAGAAACACTG